ATCTCCCTTGTCCAGTCCTTGTCCAGGCCCAAAAAGCACGAAATAAGGGTGAAATATATAAGTGATAGGTGACTTGTTTCACGGCCCCTTTTTTTTGTAAAGCGCTCCAAAAGCGGGGGGGGGGGGGGTGGGGGCCCCCCCCCCCCCCCCTTAAGTAGATTTGACACTCTTTACATCCAAGATAGTTACCCTTAACGCAAAGCGCTCGATCTCGATGTTCTTACGGGAAAATAGGAGACTGTGAACAGTCTTAGTAATAGGGTATTCGCTTCACAATCGGTCCATAACTGTTTTACAGCTTACTGAAAATTAATTTAAAGAAATTGTCATCCAAAATTGCTTATAGCCTTGTTCAAAGTCGATGGGACTATGCATTTTCTGGGACCTCGCTACATTTCATTTGTTTCAAACAACCTTTCAAAAAAAACTTTCTATGTTCTATTTGGACTACTTCCATCTTGAAAAATAGCTGCCAGGGTCGAGTTGTTTGAGGCAATGTTAGCATTGATTTACTTTTTCAATTAGTTTAGAAAAATCAGAAAAAAGTTTAATTTCTTTATTTTCTTATCAGGGCGAGAATTAGAATTAACCAATAGAGAAAGGGCTGAAGAGGAGAGTAACAACCATGATAACTTTCCAGGCGACTCTGACGTAATGTGGATGAAAATGGCCTTAATGGCGGCCAGTCGAGCCGAGATACCAAGGGAAACTGCGGACATGCCAAGTGTTGGCTGCGTAATTCGTCGCTCAAGAACTCGCGGCTCTCCAGCAGTGCTTGCAGTTGGTTGGAATGGATTCCTTCCCAATACACCTGAGGAGGAGTTAAAAGAAATAAAAGGCCGCTCTTTTAAAGGGGAGAATGCTGATCAGAAAAGAGACAACGCATTGACTGCGGAACTCGGCCTTCATGCTGAGACAAACGCTCTACAGTACTGCTCCGAGAATCCGGAAATGGCCACTGTTTACGTCACTCATATGCCGTGCTACGATTGTGCAAAACAACTTGTTGCACATAAAGTTGGGCGTGTCCTTTACCTGTATTGTACAACTTACTCGGAGGGTGATCATGAACCGAGAACGATTCGTCTTTTTAAAAAGTTCAACATCTCATGCATAGCCTTTAGCAAGCGTGACAAGGTCCTGGAAGATTTTAGCAAGTCTTTTCTTGAACATAGAGGTATTCTTCGGGGAAACACTGATGCCGAAACACCTCCAGAAAGCTGTCCGTCATTCCTAGATTCAAGAGACAGCAAGCCCTTGCCTGCGTCGCAGACGCTCTATACACATGTTTAGACGAGTGCGTTGACCGGCTGCAAAAAGAAATTGTTGACATCGTTCTAGGGCGGAATTACATTTTGTCAAAGTATATAAGGCAAATTTCCGAAAACTACCATAATATTCTTTAAAGCACAAGTTTAAGTACTGCATCATGTAGGCTTGCTTTTCCAATTGGTGCTGAGCACAAACTACAGCATTTATTGGAACATAGCGATCCCTTGAATAAGTGTCACCAGCAGTTACTTAGAATGGGAGAAAAATTATAAAAGAAGCACTGCCCTGTAATGATGGCCCTTTAAAACAAGATAAGACTATACAGGATTAATTATTGATGATTTAAAAAGGGGAAAGAAAATCAGGTTATATTAAGCTGAGCTGAGTGTGTTTCGAATTTTCAGACATTTGCAGATCATAGAAGAATGCTAACGATAGCTTTATATATAGTTTAGTTTATGTGTCTCTTACTTAAGAAGCCTTCCTTTTATTTTGATAACTTAATTTTTTGGCTTTAGTATTCCTTTATCACAAAGAAAGAAAGCCGCAGGTCATCTCAGAGGGGAGGGGGAGGGGTGCGCATCCCCTGCACTTTCCTCCTAAATCCGCCACTGAAGGAAATCCACAGGGGAAATCGACTTTGGCTTGAGTTAGCGCGAGGTTCGGGTTTACGAGGGTTTGAATTATCGGGAGTCAACTGTAATATATTTCAAAGAGAAACAAAGAGATGATCTGTGTGATTTCACACGGACTTCTTTTATAAAATGATCTCACAAGGGATGGGACATCTTGTCTACAGATATTAAAGATTGACAAAAATCGATGATGTTATTTTTTTTATGTTAAGTCATTGGTTATAACTGAGGAAATGACTGAAGCGGCAAGTAACGGCTACGACGAATTTCCTGACAACACTGATGTCATGTGGATGAAAATGGCCTTGATGGCAGCCAGTCGTGCTGAAGTAACGGAGCATGCAAAAGGAAAGCCTAGTGTTGGCTGCGTAATTCGTCGCTCAAGAAATCGTGGTCCTCCTGCAGTGTTAGCAGTTGGATGGAACGGTTTCCTTCCTAATACACCTGAGGGGGAGTTAGAAGAAATAAAAGGTCGTCGATTTAAGGAGTCAAGGGCTGCTAAAGATAGGGACAATGCACTGACTGCGGAACTCGGCCTTCATGCTGAGGTAAACGCCCTACAGTACTGCTCCGANCTCAAGAAATCGTGGTCCTCCTGCAGTGTTAGCAGTTGGATGGAACGGTTTCCTTCCTAATACACCTGAGGGGGAGTTAGAAGAAATAAAAGGTCGTCGATTTAAGGAGTCAAGGGCTGCTAAAGATAGGGACAATGCACTGACTGCGGAACTCGGCCTTCATGCTGAGGTAAACGCCCTACAGTACTGCTCCGAAAGACCGGAGATGGCTACAATTTACACGACTCATGTGCCGTGCTACAATTGTGCAAAACAGCTTGTTGCACATAAAGTTGGGCGTGTGTTTTACCTGTTTTGGATGAAAGATAGTGAAACGTCAATAGAGCTTTTCAAGAAATTTGATATAACTTGCGTACCCTTTGGAAGGCGAGGCGAAGTGCTAGAGGATTTTAACATGCCAGTTTTCCTTGAAAAACGCAAAATTGTTGAGGGAAGCACTGTTGCGCAAACATCCACAATACCCAATCAATACTTTTTGGATTGTAGAGACAATGGGGATAAGCACTTGAAAGAAGTTGAAAACTATAAATGTAAGTTGCCTTGAGTTCTAGGGCAATATCATTTGATCCATGATAATGATAATGATAATAACTTTATTTTACGAGGGGAGCACTTTACAGTAAACACTGACTAGCCTGTACCCCTTGCCTATTAAAGACCCTGTTTACATGGAGTGGGGGACCCCGGTCTAGTGGGGTAAGTTTCTTTTGTTTTGTGTCCCCCAGAGCGTGAAAACAAAAGAAACTTACCCCACTAGACCGGGGTCCCCCACTCCATGTAACCAGGCCCTAAATTAGAATAGAAACTAATTTATAAGTATGCAGCCGAAAAGAAATTTACTGACCTTCTAATTTCATCTATATTTAAGCAATCAAAAAATTTTAAACAGACAAAAGACTGATTGTTTTGAAAAAAGCCCATTAAGTTTTAAACCAAGCACTTTTCCAAGTTCCAGAAACACTGAAGGAAGGTTTAGTGGGAGAGCAACAGCGTATTTACTTTAACTCGGCTTCTAATAATTGGTACGCAAATCGGATAGCTTATTAAAAATTGACTAACAAAAATTGGCATCCAAAACTGCTATGGCCCTGTTCAAAGTTTTAGACTGTGCAATTTCTGGGATCTGGAAAAAATTGATTTACTTCAGACCATTTCCTAAATTACTCTTCGTACTATTTGGTGAATGGACTACGCCTATTTCGAAAAACACTGAGCTGCTAGCATCAAAATTGTTTGAAGTAATTTTAGCGTTGATTTACTCAGTTATTACAACTACAGGAAGGAAAAAGAAAATATGCTTAATTAATTTATTTTTTACTTAGGGGAGGAAATCAAATATTTAAAAAAGTAAGGAGGGAGAACAAGAAGAAACCGGATGCCACGATGACTTTCCAGGCAACTCTGACATAATGTGGATGAAAATGGCCTTAATGGCGGCCAGTCGGGCCGAGATACCGGGGGAAACTGAGAACAAGCCAAGTGTTGGCTGCGTAATTCGTCGTGCAAGAACTCGTGGTCCTCCAGCGGTGCTAGCAGTTGGTTGGAATGGTTTCCTTCCCAATACACCTGACGAGGAACTAGCCGCAATAAAAGGTCGCTCCTTTAAGAAGCCAAATAAAAGTCAGAAACGGGACAACACATTGACTGCGTTACTCGGCCTTCATGCTGAGACAAACGCCTTACAGTACTGCTCTGAGGCTCCAGAGAAGGCCACCGTTTACGTCACTCATCTGCCTTGCTATAATTGTGCAAAACAACTTGTTGCAAATAAAGTTGGGCGTGTCTTTTACCTGTTTTGGATGACTTACCCGGACGGTGAATCGGAGAGAACGATGAGCCTTTTTGAAAAGTTCGATATCTCATGCATAGCCTTTAGCAAGCGTGATAAGGTCCTGGAAGATTTTAGCCCGAATTTTCTTGGGCTTTGAGGCATTGTCCGGGGATGCACTGGTGACAAAACGCCTCCAGAAGGGTGTCCGTCCTTCTTAGATTCAAGAGACCGCAAGTAAACTACGTGAAATTGCATTATAGTTTAAGCTTAATACAACAGCTATATTCAGTAGAAATTGTTGAAATCGTTCTAAGGCGGAATTACATTTTATCAAAGTATATAAGGCAAGTTTCAAAACTACCATAAAAATTTTTTAAAGAACAGGTTTAAGTACTGCATCATGTAGGCTTGCTTTTCCAATTGGTGCTGAGCACAAATTGAAGTTGCTATGAATCAACGACGACGCCAAGTACGTTGTTTCCATTCTTTTATATATAAAAGTGACGGCAATAGCAACTCTTTCAAGTTAAAGCATAAGCTAATGGAAAAAAATTATCTTTAGAAGACAATCTCGTCAAGACAAGCTTGCTCGTGTAAAGGAAAACTTTACGAAGCTTCTTGAAATCTCTTCAAAATAGAAAGCTGTCGGTCCTTCAGAGATTCAAGAGACCGCAAGATCGGGCAAGGTTGCAAGTCAT